TGGATTTACCCTGTGTGGGACTCTCTGTGCTTCCTGGACTTGACTGACTATTTCCTTTCCCATGTTAGGGAAGTTTTTAACTATAATCTCTTCAAATATTTTTTCAGACCATTTCTTTTTCACTTCTTTTCTGGGATCCCTATAATTCAAATGTTGGTGCATGTAATGTTGTCCCAGAAGTCTTTGAGACTGCTTCAATTCTTTTCATTCTTTTTTCTTTATTCTGCTCTGTGGTAGTTATTTCCTTATCTTCCAGGTCACTTATCCATTCTTCTGCCTCAGTTATTCTGCTATTGATTCCTTCTAGAGAATTTTTAATTTCATTCATTGTGTTGTTCATCATTGTTTCTTTGCTCTTTAGCTCTTCTATGTCTTGTTAAACGTTTCTTGTATTTTCTCCATTCTATTTCCAAGATTTTGGATCATCTTTTCTATCATTACTCTGATTTATTTTTCTGGTAGACTCCCTATTTCCTCTTCAGTTGTTTGCTTTGGTGTGTTTTTACCTTGTTCCTTGATCTGCTATATATTTCTGTGTCTTCTCATTTTGTTTAACTTACTGTGTTTGTGGTATCCTTTTTGCAGGCTGCACGTTCTTAGTTCCCATTGTTTTTGGTGTCTGCCCCAGTGGGTAAGGTTGGTTCAGTGGTTTGTGTAGGCTTCCTCATGGAGGGGATTTGTGCCTGTGTTCTGGTAGGTGGAGCTGGATCTTGTCTTTCTGTGGGCAGGGCTGCATTTGGGGGTGTGTTTTGGGGTGTCTGTGAACTCAGTATGACTTTAGGCAGCCTTTATTCTAATGGATGGGGTTGTGTTCCTGTCTTGCTAGCTGTTTGGCATGGGGCATCCAGCACTGGAGCTTGCTGGCCTTTGGGTGGAGCTGGGTCTTAGTGTTGAGACAGAAATCTCTGGGAGAGCTCTCATCAATTTATATTATGTTGGGCTGGGAGGTCTCTGTTGGTCCAATGTTCTGAAGTCAGCTCTCCCACCTCAGAGGCTCAGGCTTGACACCATGCCAGAGCACCAAAACCCTATCAGATACACAGCTCAGAAGAAAAGTGAGAAAAAATGAAAGAAAAATAAAATTAAATAATTAAAATTTAAAAATAATTAAAATAAAAAAATAGAAAATAAGAAAAAAAGAAGAGAGCAACCAAACCAAAGCACAAATCCACCAACGATAACAAGCACTAAAATCTATACTAAGATAAACATAAAAATCAGAAATAAGTCAGTCACAGACAGCAACCCCCAAGTCTACAGTTGCTCCCAAAGTCCACCGCTTCAATTCTGGGTTGATTTGTTGTCTATTCAGGTATTCCACAGATGCAGGGTATACCAAGTTGATTGTGGGGATTTAATCCGCTGCTCCTGAGGCACGGAGAAATTTCCCTTTCTCTTCCTTGTTCACACAGCCCCTGGGGTTCAGATTTGTTTTTTGCCCCACCTCTCGTGTAGCTTGCCCCCAGGCTTCAGTTCCTGTTAAAGCAGAGGCTGATTAGGGCATTGTTGCTAATTCAGGCCAAGGGGAAGGGAGGCGAACGGTAGTTAAAAATAGAATGTGGGGCGAGACTGCAGCAGCAGAAGCTGGCGTGACATTGCAACAGCCTGATGCATGCCATGTGTTCTCCCAGGGAAGTTGTCCCTGGGTCACAGGACCCTGGCAATGGCGGGCTGCACAGGCCCCTGGGAGGTTGTAGCTAGTTACCTGTGCTTGCACCCAGGATTCTTGGTGGCTTCAGCAGCAGCATTAGCGTTTCATGCCCTTCTCTGTTGTCTGAGTTGATAGCCGTGGCTCACTCCTGTCTCTGGCGCTCATTTAGGTGGTCCCCTGCCTTCTGTGGGCAGACAGGGAAGGAATCCCCTCTCCTTGCTCACCCTGAAACAATGGTCTCTTGCCCCATAGGCAGGTCCAGAGATTTTCCCGGACTCCCTCCTGGCTAGCTGTGGAGCACTAGCCCCCTTCAGGCTGTGTTCACACAGCCAACCCTAGTCCTCTCCCTGGGGTCTGAACTCCAAAGCCCGAGCCTCAGCTCCCAGCCCCCACTCACCTTGGCGGGTGAGCAGACAAACCTCTCAGGCTGGTGAATGCTGGTCAGCACCATTCCTCTGTGCGGGAATCTCTCTGCTTTGCCCTCTGCACCCCTCTTGCTGCGCTATCCTCCGTGGCTCCAAAGCTTCCCCCACACCCACCCCCTGTCTCTGTCAGTGAAGGGGCTTCCTAGTATGTGGAAACTTTTCCTCCTTCACAACTCCCTCCTAGAGGTGCAGGTCCCATCCTTTTTATTTTGTCTCTGTTTTTTCTTTTTTCTTTTACCCTACCCAGGTATGTGGAGATTTTCTTGCCTTTTGGGAAGTCTGCAGTCTTTTGCCAGCATTCAGTAGGTGTTCTGTAGTAGTTGTTCCACATGTAGATGTATTTTTGATGTATTTGTAGGGAAGAAGGTGATCTCCACGTCTTACTCCTCTGCCATCTTAAGGTCTCCTGCAATGCATCATTTTTATCAATAGATGGAGTCTACTACTACAGGTGTATGTATCAAATTGTCTGAGTTTGTCTATAATAATACCTTGTTGGTTTGGAATTTTAAAAACGAATCCCTTCAGAGATAGAATCATCTTTGATTACTCTTTGCTGGGGACTGGAAAGCTCTACAGAGACCCAGGCTCTTCCACCCCTTACAGTGAACTTTATTTCTAAGAGAAAACCAAGAGAAAGAGGAAGGAGAGAGAGAGACAGAGACAGAGAGAGAGAGAGAGAGACAGAGAGAGAGAGAGAGAGAGAGAGAGAGGAAGAGGGCTCACTGAGTCACTAAGATGCTTTTGAAGTGACAATGAACAAAGATATCTAACAGAGCACAGGCAGTCAGAATACATGTTTTTCAGACTAGTCCCTTATTTTCCAGTCTGTGATTTACCAGTTCTTAACTCTTTGCTTTTCCCCAGTCTGGGAAGCCTTTATTTCTCTTGTCCTGTTTTGACAATTTTCAGAATATAAGATTTGGAACCATAGAAACCTAGTTAAAATCAACTATTTACTATGTGGCTAATTTTGTGGAAGTCTCCTCTCAGAACCTCAGCATTTTCAACTTTGAATTACAAATAATAATAAAACTCAACTCAGATAATTAAATAATAATATATGAAAGTGTTTGTAAATGTTGTTTAAATGTATAATAATTATTATTATAAATAATAGTAATAGTAGTAGTAGCAATAGTGGTAGTGGTAATCAGGTTCTATATTCCAAAGCCCTGGATTTGTGTCCCAAAGTTATCATTTATTTACTATACAAATTTACTTAATTGATTTCAGCCTCAGTTTGTCTTCTACAAAATGGAAAATTAAATAGATAACTAAGAGATACCTACCATATAGCACGGGGAATTCTACTCAATATTCTGTAATGGCTTATATGGGAAAAAAAATCTAAAAAAGAGTGGATATATGTATATGTATAACTGATTCACTCTGCTGTACACCTGAAACTAACATAACATTGTAAATCAACAATACTGCAATAAAAATTAATTAAAAAATAAAGGGCACTACTGCTAAAAAGAAAAATTAAAAATCACTGCTCTATAAAAGAAATAAAAATAAAACGAGGAAATTAATTCTAGTCACATTGCTGTTATGAGTGTTACATGATATATTGCATATAAATTATTCAGTATAATGTCTGACATACAGTAATTATAACACAAGTAAACTTTAGTTATTATTCTTATTAATTATAATTTACTGAGTACTTGTGACATACTAAGTATTTACAAATCGATACTCATAATACTCATAATAATATTGTAAGGAGACACTGTTATCCACAATTAATAAATGAAGCAGCAAAGGGTAAAAGTAGTTGGCTCAAGGCTAGAAAATGATGGTACTAGAATTTAAACCCAAGTGTCTGACTCTAAAGCTCAAGAATTTTAAAATATATATATAAATATAAGATATATTTATTAAAAGTTAATCTTATGCATTATAGATATTTATAATATTAATTTAAATAATTGTATTTTAATGAGTAAAGACCAGAAGGAATTCTTTTTTCATGACTTGATTGTGCAGTTTAATTCTAACTGAGATTTTGACAAGGTTTCATGTGCTTTTCTGAATTTTAAAAAATTCATTATGATGCAACAACATGCAGTATAATATTTTGACAATAATTTACTCAAGTTATTTATTTATCAAATCACTTATTTTCCTCTTTTAAAATAAAACTTTAAGTAACAGCAATACAATTTGGTATACAATAATACATTTTAGTTATTTTCATATAATTTTTTTTGGTTGTAGCTAAGGAAAAAGCTGCCTTCCTTTTTATGCCTCTTCTTTTCTGATTTCCTTATTCACTTTATCTACCAGCTGGTAAACATTTAATTGTATATAGTTTTGTCATCTTTATTCAATTATTTGACTTATTTTGAGGACATGTCTCATTTATTCCATGAGAATGTGTGTACTTGCATTACATCATTTTCCCCTTACAATCCAGCATCATTAAGCACTAAAAGTCCTTGATTGAATGAGTGAAGAAAGGAATATGTGAAAAATGCATGAGGACGAACATTTTCATGTCTGTAGTACCCAAGTAGTAACACTATATTAGTTCATGATTTTCCTTTATCAAATATTATTTTTAACATTCTAAGACTTTTACAAAATTTGGGTATTTTAAAATAATGTTTTTGTTTAATGTTATTCTCCTTAGCTCCTCTTTTGGTGAATTCAAAGATATATATTTTAAAATGTACAACATCTATGTTTGAGATGTGTTTTTTCATTTCATATATCATATTTTTAAAAGCAGTCTTGGTCAATGACAGAAAAAATCCATTTAGGTCTCTGCAATTTTCTAAAACAATGTAATTTGCTAGCTATACCTGTCTTTGGTAATATGCCTGTTTATTATGAGGAAAGTGCAAGAATTTTGAGTAGGAACATAGTGGAGAAAAAATATTTCGAGAAATTTCGTTTCCTTTTGGTTCTTACAGAAAGTGTAGACTACGGGCCAGTGTTTGTGCAAGAACCAGATGATATAATTTTCCCGACGGATTCTGATGAAAAGAAACTAGCACTGAATTGTGAAGCTCGTGGCAGCCCAGTTCCCAATTACAGGTAGAAATTCAATGTTAATCATTTTTCTTAAGTCTTAAAAATTCCTTTCAATGAGATTCTGACACTCCCTGGGAGTATTATAATGTCTCAAGTAATTTTTATGTACTTGTCTTCTGATTTTTCCTAAGATGGCTTCGAAATGGAACAGAAATAGATTTGGAAAGTGATTATCGCTACAGTTTGATAGATGGGGCCTTCATTATAAGCAATCCAAGTGAAGCAAAGGATTCTGGCCATTATCAGTGTTTGGCAGCCAACACGTTTGGAAGTATTCTTAGTAGAGAAGCTGTACTTCAGTTTGCCTGTGAGTAAAGTATTGCTCTTTCCACATATACATATATATAGTGTGTTTGTGTAAATATATATACATATACATATATATAAAACTTTAAAGTTTAGTGAGGCAATAGCTTATGACTTCAACTTTTAAAATCATGGTATAAACTGGTAACGATTAGAAGTATGAAAACAATGTGTTTCTTCCTGAGATATTTTCAAATTCCCTGAAATGTTTGCCCTCTTCACATAAATAGTAGTCTGGGGAGGTTAAAAATTCTGTTCATAAAAGCAGATAAAGTTTTAGAATTGAAATATCCTTTGAAATCTAGTAAGAAATAGATTTTTAAGTTTTTCTCTCTGCTTTAAAATATACACTTAACTGCTTTTATTCTTCCACTGTCTATTATAGTCACTATTTGCTATAGATTCTTCTGTACATAAGATAGCATACACTAAAAATTCTGCTTGTAGTCAGGTAACCAAAGAAATGCCTCTGAAATGCTAATCTCTCAGATTCTGATTATAACTTCCCTCCCAAGTGTCCCAGGTTTTTTTATTAGAAAAAAGACACCACATGTAATCATTCATGTATACTAGAATATATACATTTAAAAAAAATAGATCATATATCTAATTAACTAACTGTAGAGATTTCTTAAAACTCTTGAAATCATTTCATTTATGATGGGGTCTTACACCAAATTAAGGATAGGCTACTGGGTGAGATCATTTCTTAGTAAGTAATCCTACTTGAATTAAATTCTTGAGGATTATAATCTCTAAGAAATAGAAGGGCCAGTGAACTTTGTGCTAATAATTCATATGTAACTATAATGGCTATGTAATTTGTCACAAAAAGAATTTTTAAGTTAAAATTACACCCTGAAGAATGGAATAATTGATTTTTGTCTGTATAATCTTCATGTATTATGTCTAATTAACCCCAAACCCAGACACCCTATTAAAGGAGTGTGAAGGAGAAAAGGAAAGAATAAAGGAATGATAATGGATTCAGTTTCGAGAACATCGAGTTAGGTATTAGAAAAATCAAAATATTATCTTTTAAAGTATAATTGGCTAAGGAGTTTAGCCTGGTACTTTACATACACCAAATATACCAAGATAGGGACCTAATTATACTCCTTTTGTTTTTGAAAATATTATGTGGTGTATCACAGAACCTAATACTTTTCAGTATGTACATTGAAAAAATCCTAATAAACCAAATAAACAACCCTCCTAATTGCTCCTCTCTTCAATAGAGCAGTCTTTTCAAGACAGATACAGCAAATCCAGAAAACACGATGTACTAGTATTAGTGGCTTATACCTTTCTCTTTGGTCTATACTCTCTAACACAAGTACGCTAATTCTCAATAGCCTGTAGATCAGTTGTTTTTCTCCCAAATCAACAGTGGTGGCAAAATATGCAAAGTTTTCTGTATTATTCAGAACAGAAATCTATTTACTGAAAGATCCTAGATGTCTATATGATTGTGCCTTTCTAGATTTTTGCAAAGACCTGTCACAGCTATCAAATAGTCAATTCCACCTACCGTGAGCAAGTTGGCACCAGCATTTACAGTTCAATGACTAGGCAAGGGAAGCTTTATCTCTCAATCAACCTACCTACCTACTTAATTATCTTATCTATTCCACATCAAGCTGTCCTGAACTTAATTTAGAGCAATATTTGCTTTATTTTTAACTTAAATGTATGGGTAGACAGACATATTCAATCATTGGTAGTGTCTTATTACTCTGCCTTACCCCAACCCCACCCCACCTGACTCACTGCTGTGTTCTGGAGGCCATACGTATGCATAAGAGCCTGTAAGATGCCTGGTTGAAGCAGTCAGTCACTTACATAGGGAAGGCCACTTCTGCCTCAAAATTGCTCCCCTAGATTCCATTATGTCTGTGTTGATGATATAAAAATTAAGTCTGTTAGGCTTAGTTTTATTTTTTGCCAGGTGATATTTGGGAAAAAAATGCAAATACAGGTGATAGAGAAGATAGGATGAAGACAATCAATTTGCTTTCTAGTATACCTGGGTGCGAGCATGGGTGCTAGGAGTCACCCATGCTCTAGGAATCAGGGTATTTTTATGATTAGGGGGAGAAAATGAGGTAGGATGCTGGGGAGAAAGAAAAGAAGGGGCTTCTGAAAGGAAGTGAGAGCATACAAATGTAAAGCAAGACTACAAACTTGGTGGCAACTTTCCTTTACATCATGATTTTCTATGACCAGCCTCCGAGATAGAGAATGAACTCACTATTTGTTGTTCATAGAATGTCTAAAGGACTTTTGTGGCTACAGGAACTCTGATTACTTTTTATACATTTTGAAGCTGAAATCATTAACTATCTATATCCATCAGCCACTATTTATGCAAAAATTTAAATATGTATTACATAACTAATATTTCAAAACAAGTATATTTAGTAAGTTTAGATAATTATTAAAAGAGATTAAATTAAATATTTAAATCTAATACAAGTCTGTTCAATGTTTTAAATGTTATATAATTAGACAAAATTACAAATTACCAAAATGATTACAAACTTATGAACTCAGTTTACAGTTATTTTATTATATAAATATTTTTACCTTTATATCTTAATTTTATCATGTATTACACAATAATTTTATCAGCTATGGTTTTCTACATTGTGTAGTGCAATTGTGATCTAAAATCAAATAGAAAGGAGGATCATATTACCTAATCCAGAGTAGTTTCTGAGTTATCAACCAATTGAATTCAGGTTGCTCCTTTCAAAGTGAGACTGTTAACAGACTTGACCTCTTTTATAATTTGAACATTATTTTTGTTATATAAATAATACTTTAAATAATAATACTTTAAATAATAATAATAATACTTTAAATCTATAGCTTTTACATAGGTTTTCACCTTTTGAAATATGACATATTTGCCTAAAATAATGTGATTTTAAGACTTAATTGGACAATGTTAAATAGGCATTAAATGTGTCTTCCCTGATTATATTCATAGAAAAAAGTACTGATCTATATTTTATAAATAGGTACATATTTAAATGAAGAATCAAGATATTCATATACTAACAATTCCATACTTATTAAAAGTAATAAAATATAAATATATCCTACTAGAATTATCTTCCTTTTGTATGAAATTATATATATTATATACACACATGCATCATATTAAACGTTCCAATTTTGAGTATCATTAAAGTTGCATGAGATTTTGCAGATTTACCTTATTCATATACATATATAAATTGTCACAATTTGACTATTGGGAATCCCTGAATGTTAGCTTCTTTGTCCTCTTATTAACCAGAAATATATTTTAAAATATTCTAGCTTTCCTCCAATAACATCTTGATCTTGTGTCCACCCCCCATGTAGATTCAGCTACATTTCGTTGACCGTAATGCATAATGTTATTTATAGAGACTAAAATCTAGGTGTTAGAGGTGCATATAAGATTGATCCAAATAAGTTCTGGTGCTGAGGAGGATGACATTATTGCCAAACCAGTTTAGTAAAAAAAAGATTTTTAAAAACAAAAACTTTTAGGGTCTCAAGTTCATATAAGTAGTTTATATTTATTTAATGCTTACTTCTATGGCAGACAACGTTCTAAGTGTTTTAAAATATGTTAACTCATTTCATCCTCATAACCAACCTATGAAGTATTATGCTGTTAAATGTAAACACATTTTACAGATGACACCTCTTATTTAACTCTAATAGTACTCAGTCTTTTCCTTATATAAATATGTATTATATTCATTTTATGGCATACCCATTTTGTTTTAATTCCTTTCTCAAACAATAATTATATTGTAATGTTTCAAAAAAATCTTTTTATGTTTGCTTCATCAACCATCATTTTATAATCAATATATTAATACCTATGTGTAAAACAAAAATAAATACTGGGATAAAAAATAAGTATATAATCATTCTGCATTTATTCTCATTGTTTAAATTAGTTAATAAATCACTTGCTTAATTTTCCTTATGGAAATTTAAGAGCTTAAGACACATTAAGTCTCCTTCTAGATCTAGAATTTGGGGATTTATAGTACTTTTGGTATGTAATTTTTTTTTTCTTACCATATTTTCTCTTTTATTTTTAATAAATGTATTTATTTTTTATTTTTGGCTGTGTTGGGTCTTCATTTCTGTGCGCGGGCTTTCTCTAGTTGCGGCGAGCGGGGGCCACTCTTCATCGCGGTGCGCGGGCCTCTCACTATCGCGGCCTCTCTTGTTGTGGAGCACAGGCTCCAGACGCTCAGGCTCCAGACGCGCAGGCTCAGTAGTGGTGACTCACGTTTCTAGTTGCTCCGCAGCATGTGGGATCTTCCAAGACCAGGGCTCGAACCCGTGTCCCCTGCACTGGCAGGCAGATTCTCAACCACTGCGCCACCAGGGAAGTCCATATTTTCTCTTTTATTATACCTTTTTCTCTTAATTTAAAAAATTTATTAGACAATCTATAGTTAGGACCTGGAAAACTACATTTTCTAAATAATCTTGAGACAGGACATGGATGACTGTGGCTGTTATCAAAAACTGAAACTATCATCGTAGATCCTGGCTTTTGAAGAGAATGGTGATTAGGAAATGAGTGTTGGCACTTTTACCTGCTGATGTAGCAATAATAAAGGACATATCTAATGTATACTAAGTGTAAAACAAATTTAGTTTCTTTAAAGTTTTGTTCCTATTCACTTGTCACTCAACATATCAAGTGTATATTTATATAATAATTATTGTAATTTACTAATATATTTGACGTTAACCTCATTCCAAAGATGATTTATTTGACTTGCCATATAAAATCATATACCATAAAGGATAAATATGTAAATTAGTAAATACAACACCAGGAAAAATGTACATTTCTCCATAAGAGGTCAAGATAGTATAAGCCATATGTCTCATAATTATTATGGTCAAGACACAAATATTTCCTTGGGACTCCCAGTAGTCAGAGAAAAAGGAGAAATACAAACATTTAAAGGATGT